ATGGAGAAAACATTGGGCATAATGTTACTTAATATTTGCTGCTATTACCTGCTGTAATGTTTTTTGCATATTTGGCTACAAAGTTTTAATTGACTGGTTAGTTCTGTTGAGTTGGTTATTTTGATATGAAGTTTATCATGAACAGTTTATCATGCTTGTAAAATGGTTTATGTAAAAATTCACTGGTGTAATTTTAACAGCTTGTATTGGTCAGTAATGTAATAGTTGTGTGTGATGATGATTTGGTCGACTTGCTGAAGGTGACCTGAACACACCTGTACACCTGGTTTAACCCGTATTATTTTACTGACTGTTTTTTTGCTTATTTATTTGTAAATATCTATTCCCTAAACAAGTCAGCACTGGCTTTCCATTGGGAGACTGTGAAATAATCTTGCATTTAAATAAAGTGATTTTAAAGGGCATCTGATCTGATCTGATTCATTGCGTTGGAATTGAGGTGTCTTCAATTCAGGCATGATTTGACAGGATTACAGTGAGAAGCCATTTATCAAGCAAGACTGGGCAATGACAAAAACACTGCCTATCAGAACATTTTCTTTGGTCTTGTTCACACAGAACGCATTAAAACAGACGTGTTGTTGTGCACTCGCTTCTTTTGAAGCGTTTACCGTTCTAAAAAGGCAGTGCTCAAGTTACAAAAAGTCCAATTTTTATAAAACTTTTTTTTTTAATTCCACTGCCCTGTGCCTTGACTTTTTAAATGAAAAAATGTGTGTGTGAATTGTATGGAGCCCCTAAGTGGACATAGTAGTAGAAAAAAAATTGAGATTGGAGGGAAAATTATATTTCCATGCTTTCTTGCTGTCTGCAATGGAAGCCTGTTTCCGCCACTTAAATTACTACTTTTTATCTCGCTATTCTGACTTTTTTCCCCCTCAGAATTGAGTTTGTATCGTGCAATTCTAATAAAAAGTCAAATTCTGAGAAAAAACCCCCGAATATCTTGCAATTCTGACAACTCGCAATTGTGAGTTTATATCTCAGAATAGTGAGAACTCAGAATTGCGAGCTTGTATCACTAAATGTAAACTTGCAATTGTGAGAAAAAAGTCGCTAATTACCTTTTTTTTTTATTCATTGGCAGAAACGGGCTTCCATAGTTTCCCCAAGAAACTCTCTGAACGTGGAAGTTTTGCGAGCGAATGCAAAATTTCAGAGGATCAAATATTTTTGCGAGCGAATGCAAAGTTTCTCAGGAGAACCCAATCCTTTTGGGAGAGGATACAAAAATTTTGTGAGTGAACACAAGCATTGAAATACTTGCGGGCTCCACAGAATGACCCTTAACTCTTGTTTTCATGACTTCCCTGTTGAAAAAAACAGCATATGCTGGTTAGGTATGTTTTGAAGCTGGGATGCTGGTTTGAGCTGGTCCTTTGCTGGTTCTTTGCTGGTTTATACTGGTCCTTAGCTGGTCATGTGCTGGTCCTAAACTGGTCTGACCAGCATAAACCAGCAAAGGCCCAGCTCAAACCAGCATCCCAGCTTCAAAACATACCTAACCAGCATATGCTGTTTTTTTCAACAGGGTTAGCTGATGCGTCAGTGGGTATATGGAACATATCTTGATTCCCATTTTATATACTACCTCCAAATAATAACAGCGTAACTGTTGACCTGAACTACACTTACCAAGGCAAACGGCTTGTCTTCACTAACAGTTTTTGTTTCACATTTATGGTTTATTATTAAAGTATTTTTATAGCACACACAATGTATTGTATTTCCGTCTTTAAAGTTGAAAATCAACTCCCTGGTCAGCCCTTAAAAGTTCTCATTCAAACACCAGCTCTGAGTTTTACTCCTTAGGTCTGTTTTCATTCCCCTTTAAGTATTATTGCATTCCTCACACTGAATTACTTTTCTTTCAGTCTTTTATCCCTCTTTTCCTGCATTTTTTAAAACTTTGTCTGTTCTTCTCATCTCAGTCATGCACTCTGGTTTCCATGTGTTCATGGCAGACAGCTTCACTCTATCTGTACTGACCATTGGACAGAAACAGGCAAAAAGTACTGTAGTAGTAGATGAAATATCAGTGAGCATGCAGTATCCAAGGCTTTCCCATACTGCCCCATCCCTGTGTGGCTCATTACTTCCAGTGAAGTCGTAATGTATCAGAAAAGAAAAGTTCAGTGCAAGTAATAACTAGATTTTTTTGCAGGTGCAAAAATCACCATCCCTATCAGCTATGTGATTATAGGGTGTTGGTGGTTTCTGACTAACTTGCTTAATAAGTCTGGGTAAAATTTGTAATTCTGATCCAAGCATGATTTGATTTCATGATATTATAATGTTTTGTGCATGTATGGATGGAAATATTTAACTTGCATGTTGTTGGAGCGTCACGTTGTTCTGTTTTGTGTCAGCAAATTCCCCAATCAGTCTTTAATGAGAGATGCTCTTCATGTCAGCGATTAGTTACACAACTAAGGTTCTTCCGTTCACTCCTCATGCAAGATGTCTTAATTGTGTGTGTGCATCCTACTCAAACCAGGCTTTGATCCTTTACAAACACAAACAGACATTTTACAGTCCTTTTTGGATGTTGTCTCAGACTTTTGCGAGACTGGAACGTGCATGTGAATGGAGAGATGTATGTATAGTTGCACAGTCAATCAATGCTATTGAAGACTTGTTGCAGATCTACAGTTCTGAACTTGCTGGAAATCTCTTCAATACTCAGAAACAAAAGGCCCACAAGATATGTTTTGTGCTCTTTTGAGACAGCTATCATAAATCCAGAATCCAATGTTTGTATGGAGTTTGTAAAAGACATAAGTGGGATTGCAGATATTGAATGGATAGGTGGAGAGAATGTTAAAGAATTGCATTGACTGAAGGAATGTAAGCTTTGATTCTGCACCATCCTTCAAAGTCAGCATCTCCAGTTACTGCCATAGATTGTGCGTTTGACATGAAGGATTTAGTTGGACATGATTTGTGAGCATGGTCTTGTAAATACACAGTGTTTCTGGTAAATGTCTGTTTTCTGCAATCTCCCATAAATCTGATGGGGTAATAGATGAAATAAAGCTGAGAGCTCTGATGGTGGTCCTGAAGAATGGCCAGAAGGTTGCAAGCAAAGGTGTTGAAAACAAAAATAAGATGTTAAAACTTGCATTCCCACTTAAGACTGATGAATATAACATTATATAACAACATCCAAGTGGCATTGATTTTAGGACCTCGTGCACTTTTCAAGCAAAACATCTCACCAAGTTTGACAGATTATAAAATAAGATATTTGCACAAAAAAGTATTCTTGTAACTATAAAATTAAGGTTGAACCATTGATGTCACATGGACTATTTTAATAATATCCTCACTACCTTTCTGGGCCTGTCAGTTGCGTTGCTGTCTGGAGGGTCAGAAAGCTCTCGTATTTCATCAAAAATATCTTAATGTGTGCTCCAAAGATGAACGAAGGTCTTACAGGTACATGAGGGTGAGTAATTAAAGACAGAATTTTCATTTTGGGTGAACTATCCCTTTAAGAAAGAATGTTTATGAGCACTGTCAGGCCCTGTCCACACGAACGCGGGTGTTTTAAAAACCGCAGCTTTTTCTATGCGGTTTGGCCGTTCGTCCACATGCAAACGCAGCACCAGGTCACTGAAACCGAACATTTTTGAAAACTCCTGGGTGAAGATTTTCAAAAACTCTGGGTGCAGTGTTAGACAGTGAAACCGGAGATTTTGGCTTGTGACGTCGGAGCGCGCGGTGTTATCTCCGCCTACTGGAAACGTTTTCAGGCTTCTGATTGGCAAACATGGCTTTACGGTTGAGATTATATCGCCACCTGTTGGTTTGGCATGCTCTTGACAGTGCTTCATAGCATGGTTTTGTGTTTTCATGTGGACGGAGATATTTTTAAAAACGGAAGAAGGAAAAAATACCCGTGTATGTGTGGACATAGTCTCAGAAGCAAGGAAGAGTGTGTACCAGTAAGGTATTTGTATTACTAAATTTCACAGACTTAGCTGGGCAAGAAATTCAGACATCTCATGCAAACACAAACAAAACAAAACAAATGGCCACCATGAAGACCGATTCCAGTCCCGAACCATCTGTGCCATATTACAGATTAATGAGTGTGAAGGTGTTTTGAGCCAATGTTTACGGAGCAATCTAACAAAAACAAGTGACAGACTTATTGAGATAAAATGAGGTGATGAACTGTGGAGAGGAGAGGGGTGAAAATTGCAGTTGCATGTCATAAGTAGATGAGAAAAAGAAAACTAAATATCAAGGGATTGTGAAGGTTGATGACAGAACGAGAAATGGGCAAGGGAGCATGTTGATTCTGAAGACTGAACATTGATCTGTTACAAATGCCATCATCAAGCATGTAACATTTCAAACAAGCATTGACCTCTGCTACTGTTTGCGTCATGTTCTGACCCCTTTAGCTAAACGCCACATGTAAACCAACACTGCATACCTCCCCCATAGCCTGTCCGGTAGGGGTAACTATATCCAAACTTACTCCCCCTCTTAGCAGCCTGTCTTGGGTTCCCTATAGCGAGATCCCTGGCTGTGAATCACCAGTAGCAAACCGATAGGTCCACATACACTGCGACACCCAAATTAGAAAGCAGCAGAAAGGTATGCACTCCCCCAGTAGTCACTTTCTGAAACTGTCACACACACTTAGCTAGGTTGTTAGGTACATTACATAAGTAATAACTACAATACCCAGTGGGAAAATTAAATAACACTGGGACAAAAACCCCTGTGTTCACCTGTGGTAGCCCTTGCATTCCTAGACACAAAGCTAAACAAACAGTACACAATCCATCCCACACATGCTCTGATATGCCCTCCAAGAGGAGGTGGCAAATACAGAACTCTGGAAAGATCTTTTTGTTGGGGCAATCCGTCAAGCACATAGCATCCCTCCTTTTCTTCCGTCCCTCTTTCTGTCTCTCTTGCTCCTTCCCTCCCTCCTTTTCCTCCCTGACTGTATAAATATGTCCCAGCGCAATGTGCCTGGACTCAGAGAAACTGCCTCCAGACCTGAAGACACAAACTGTGGGATCACAGACATCAAAGCGAGACATCAACCACCAATCAAAACGAGGCACTCAAATCAGTCCCTCAACTGAGAGAAAGTCAGTGGGAACGGAAGATTGAATAGACTCAGGTGAGAGGTCATTAGAAGATGCCAGAGAAGTGAGCGGCTCTGGTTACGCTTGTGAGGTAAAAGGGAAGGAATAGATTAGTGCCGGAGCTAAAGAGGACAGGGCAGACAAGTGATCCACAGAAAGAGTAGATTCACCTCTGCGAAAACCACCTTCCTGGAGGAAGAACATCAGATAAAGACAGAAAGAAGTTTCCAGGTATCTGTGGTCCAGCTTAACATGTGGTTTTTGGCTATGTTGTGGGTTTCCTGCCTGCTGATGGGCACCCATGCTCAGGGCAGCGCTAGTTTTCGCCGGGCAAATGCTGGCAGTGGACGTTGCCAATACACCTTCATGGTGGACAGCCCTACAGAGGCCAGTTGTCCATCAGCAGGTTCAAGTCCCGAGATGGAGGCCCTGAAATCTCGCCTGGGGCTGTTAGAGGCGCTGGTCGCCCGCCTTGTAGGAGGGGAAGCCATGTCAGAGTCATCACAGGGCTCCGGATCTCAGTCAGGCCTCCAGGATGCATACAACCAGGTGATGGGGGAGAACGCCCAGCTCCAGAGAGAGAAGCAAAGACTGGACAGACAGGTTCAGGACCTGCAGCAGAGGTTGGAAGAGCTCCGCCAGGAGGCTGAGAGGTTGAGGAGCAGAACCTGCATGCAACAACCTCCTCCAAGAGTGCCCCAAAATGACAACAGCTTCAGACCAGGATCAGGTGAGTACTGACAACCAAGCACCAAATTGTCTTTTGGCTATGGTTAGCCAAATGTTCCCTACCTTATATATTTGTTGTGCATTCCTAGACAAAATTTGCAGAAATTGTACAACGACTTGCGGTCACTGGGGCAGTACCCTCAAAGGGACAACTTTGTACCTTGTTTCACAGTGGTACCATAAGTGTGCATATAATTACCTTAGTACTCTAAGATGCTAAAATATATTCTTTAGGGGAAAATAAGGTACAAAGGTGTCCCTTTGAGGGTACTGTCCCAGTGAAAAGCCGCTGTACCCATAAAGGTAAAAATTCTGACATGGTGTACATTCATAATAAAGTATGAAAGATTGCCAATACCTATTTTGTTTTGTTAATATACAGTCCAATACTGGTAATGATGGAAACCTTTATCTGCATGATGTTGTTTGTGAACATATTTTCGTAAACTAACTTGTAATCTGGGTTACTAAAATGTTTAGAACAACTGAGCCGTGACAAGTAAATAGGTGTGGTGTCTGAGAAGGTGGAGGGAGTGAGCAAATTGGCAAGCCAGTCACTGGCACCATGGAAAAGACTCATACAGTTTATGCATGTATTTCCATAGTTATATCTGCCTGGAAGTATGAATCATATTTTGGGTGAGCAGGTCATTGTGTTCATTTTAAAGCAGGAGGGAACAGAATAGATCAAAGATGATCTAGGTGACAACCCCCCTGTCATAGCAAGAGCAGGGCAACAGAAGCAAGAGAGACATGAGGGTGTTGGGGCAAGCTACTGAAGCAGTAAAACATAAGCACTGTGCTAATACTCAGCAGTAAAGTCTTACTGACAGCTCCCAGCAGACCGCTGACGGATGCTGCATGAGGAGGGGTGGAGGTCAGGGGTAACTGATCCCAACTGGAGTTGTTAGTGCAAGTGTTGGTACCTTAAAAACGGTTAAGCTTTACTGACATATTCTGTTAACAAAAATAATATTTAGGCAAGCAGCCAAGTTGCTAGCATGATGTAGCATATGATGCCACAGTTATGTGGTTCACTTCAATTTCCCAAATTAATTTTCTTTTATCAAGGTTATATATTTCTCCCCACCAGCTTCTCTTTTCCATGTCCTGCCATATTTGACATCTGTTCTACTTCTCACACTGACACCTGTGATCTGCACCATACATCATGTAAACATGAAAAATAAAGATGGAGTTTAATAAGACAGAGGAGAGAAGCAGTGGACTGTGGAGACCCTTTTTGCAAAAGGAAGACCGATTCTGGCTCTTCTGAGATTAAAAAGAAAACCGGCCATCTGTCTTGCACATCCTCACCCTCTTGGATTCAGTGTTTTTCTTGCAGGTTTACAGTCCCTTTAGCACCATAAATATCCTAGCATGTAAACGTACACTCTCAGAAAGGGGCTGAATAAACAGTAATTTAGCAGTGGGTATAAAAGCTTTATTTACATGGGCTAATAGCAAGGTTCAAAGGTGCCCATAATACATGTTTATGTTGCCCTGTTGTTTTGGACAAACACTTAGCAGTGTGAATGTAGTGTCATGCAAAAGCAAAGATTTCCAGGTACTGTTGCTGTTGTAGAAATGCACTTTTTGCACAATGCACAATTTTAATTTAGTATTAGGGTACTGATGACTACAATCTTTATCTTATGTGAATGTACATTGTTTAAAATGTATAATTTTTCAAAAGTACTATTTATTTAAGTGTAAAACATTTTAATGGGGAAAAATGACAGAGTAGTGAAGCTGAACACAAACAGTCCTTGCAATGAAAAAAGATCAGGAACCTTGTGCCATTCGGCCATGTGGATGTTGTCAGTGTCACCTCATTAAGTACGAACTTATAAATGTGTAATCCTGATGTCTTGCCTCTGGAGATCGAACTGTTTTGGAAATCTTCCCTTGGATATTTTAAATGAAAGGAATTCTCATTTAGAATTATAATAAGCATCGACATCTGCTTCACAGCCTAGAGTTGCAAAACCCCAAAGCATTTAAACATTACAAAAAAAAAAAAAACCTCCAAAGTCTTCAAGATGTTAGATGGGACGGCTCTTGCAAATAAATTAGCCTGCAACACGCTACCAGCTGGTCCAGAGGGTTCTTGAAGTTCTGCTTGATCTCTCCGGGATCCATTAGGCATGTTATACAGATAAGCACAAACACCTGCAAACAAACCTTGGGAATTACATGCTTTTGTTGTCTTGTAGTGACACACAGGCCTGTGTTCATGAGCATGTGTTGATTATAGGGATAAAGGACAGTACCTACATACCCTGCCACTGCAGGTCTGAGCAGGCTATTATCGGCAGCAGCCCTTTTTAACCCTCGTCACAACAATCAATCAAAGTCAGCTTCCAGATGTTCATGTCTCAAAGTGTAGTCTGGGCCATTATAAAAGCCTGTAAACATGTTAGCACATGATCAGACTTTAATTATAATGTGGCACCGTAGTTTGTCATAGGGCCTAACAGAGGTAATTTAGTCCTTGGCAATAAAACGAAGGGAGTGGGGATAATGTAAGTGCGAGTTGATCAGGTCAGTTTTGCATTTTTATTGGGACCAATCAAAAGTACATAATTTGAAACAAGTTACCCCTTCTCAACCGTCTTCCATTGTTTGATATTTTTATATCAGAAAATGACACACATTGGCTTGAAAATTTTTCAGTTTTTGTTTGAGATTGTTAACCAGGGAGTGTGTATTTGCACCCTGTTGGAGTGCATGTCTGAGTTTCGGATGTGTAATGGGAGGTCTGGAGTCTGTCAGGCTCAGGGACAGCTGGGAATCTACTCAGGGCTGTTTATTTCCTTCTGTTAAGATTCCTGACTGTCAGTAGAGCTGCCAGTCCCCCAAAACCATGCAACATACCTCTCTTTGGGAACTCAGGATCAATACCAAGCCCTACTCAACTTTAGACTTTCGTTATGGCACTCTGGGATACCAATGGTTGATTATCTCTTTTTAACCAGTCTATCTTCACATTATCTGGTTTCTCTAGACTGCAATTAAGGTACCGTAAACATCCCTAGACCATAACAGCATCATGTGTCTTTGCCTTTTAGGACCTGCACTCTCCCACCTAGTATCAAGGCCTGGGAACACGCAAGGAGACAAAAGCAGTTTAAGAGGTATGGAGTATCAAGGGTAAAGTTACACTAGCAAAGAACAAACTACACCACCATAATAGATGAACCCCCTTCCGTACTGCACAATGGAAATGGTCTTCCAAACGAGTTCTTTGATATTCTGATTGTGATGTCATGGTCACTAGTTGCCATTCTTACAGTGAAGGCTTGACAAATGTAGACCTCAACACCTTCACAAGCACGTCTCAATTGGAGTATGTGAATTTCTGTCCTCTTGCTCTCCTAGATCCAGCATGGCATCACGAGAATCCTGGATACCAGGAGCTGACGGCTGTAGTCACTGAGGTTTCTGCCCCAAATTTGGAAGGTCCAGCGGACATCTCAGGTGAGTCACACCCTAACCCTAGCCTTTCACTCAAAAGTGACACGATCTAGTAAATGTCCTCCGACACTGTCAAAGCATGTTGATGTATAAATACATCATGCCCCTACATCTCAGCTGCCTGAAAAAATGACACTGTGCACATAGTATTCATTCCTGCTGACAGCACCAACACAAATACTGCTATTTTTACCAATTCATTTGCGTCTAAAATAATCTAGTTTATAAAAGGAGCTGTGCATGTTTAGTAAGGCGCCAAAATGGTAATGCGAATCACTTGATAGGACCATGTTTCTAAACAAAGATATCAAGGTTCAGGTTGTTCCCAGGAAGTCTTTTGAATTCTGCCAACCATCCCTTCACCCAGTACCGCTCACTTACAGGGTATTTTAGGAAAGTGTAAGTTATGCTTCTAATCTTTTACACTCAAAGGAATGGTAGGACAAGGGGTCCTCTCTTTCACCTTTAGCAGATTTTGGTTTGATGGGATCTCCTTGCAACCTGTCACTGGTTCCATGTGCAATCTCATGTTAAAATCATTTGGTTTTCCAACAATTGTCCAATCTCTTGATCTTTCAGGCTGTGGTGATCTGGTGTGGGTACAACAGCCTGAGGTGCACCGCAAGGCTGACAGCATTGCTGGTAAATACGGTGTCTGGATGCAAGACCCAGAAGCTAAAGAACCTTACGGTCCAGAGATGGTGTGGCGCATAGATGCCGTAGGGTCTGAAGTGCGTCAACTCTTCGGCTATGAAAACATGGACCAGCTGTCACGTGGCTTCCCCACTAAAGTCCTCCTCTTGCCAGAATCTATGGAGAGCACAGGCGCCACCATGTACAGAGGCTCCTTGTACTACCAACGGAGGCTCAGCCGCACCCTTCTAAGATACGATCTACTCTCTGAGAGTATTGCTGCCCGCCGTGATCTTCCCCATGCTGGCTTCCATGGCCAATTCCCCTACTCTTGGGGAGGGTACACAGACATTGACCTGGCAATAGATGAGAATGGTCTATGGGCCATATACAGCACCAACAAAGCCAAGGGTGCTATTGTCATCTCCCAGCTAGACCCTCACAACCTGGAGGTGAAGGGCACCTGGGAGACTAAAATCCGCAAGACATCCGTGGCTAATGCTTTTATGATCTGTGGCAAGCTGTACACGGTTGCTAGTTACACCTCACCAAACACCACCATAAATTACATGTATGACACCGCAACCAGCCAGGGTAAAACAATCTCAGTGCCGTTCAAAAACCGCTATCGGTACAACAGCATGGTAGACTACAACCCAGCGCAGAGAAAGCTATATGCTTGGGATAGCTTTTACATGGTATCTTATAATGTGAGACTAGGCAAGCAGGAGTAAAGTGAAGACATCAGCGTAAATTTCCATATCACCCAGCTTATAGATGCATTTTGTAATGTTTTAATATTTTACCATCTGGAGGGACAGCTATTTTTGGATTTACTGGAATTCAAGACAATGATAGACAACTGGACAAGAATCAACTATAATTATGCTGATGACATTATTCCTAGTACCAGCAGTAGGTATATATAATGAATACAGCAAATATAACATTTTCATACCAGTGACAACATTGCACATCTTCACATTAAAACAATTTCTATTTTTGCATCTTTAAATGCTATAAAAGATATTCCTTTGACTAACAAATTCCAAAATGGATAAAGTATATCAGGTTTTTAATAAATTGAGGCCACATTTACGTCCTCAGTGATTTTGTCCACTTAACATGTTAATAGAGAAATTATTTTTCTACCTTTTAAGTAATGTCTCGTCTTTTTTGTTTACACGGCACTGAAAAATTCAAGGAAGGGGGAAAATATAATGGCATACAATTCATTACAATAGGCCTGCCTCTTGATTGACATTGTACAGAGGTATGCAACATTAAAAAACAAAAACTTTGCTTGTTGTGTACATGCTCTAATCCTTACGTAATCATGCTATCGTAACTCTGTATATGTTGAAAATTATCCCTTCTCTCTTTTGAATTTGCTTGGGAAGACTTGGGTGCTGCTTGAGATGTTAAGATTGGAATCTTGTGGCTATGGAAGTGTATTAACTTATATGAAAATAAAGATTTAAAAAGTCTCCTTTTCTTCCGTTTTGCATACATGCACAGAGGTATTTTAATGAACTCATTACCTCAAAACCAAAAAAAACTGACATCCCAACCACAGCTCATTTTTACAGCATATTATTTTATTAGTTTCGGTAACCAAACCAGGATAATGTAAATAAGACCTTACATATTTTAATACAGCGATTTAACCCCTGTACAAGTAAAACAAAAACAGAAATCAAAAGAAAAGAAAAAAATTAATTCCCTCTCCTCCCCTTCTGTTTGTAGTTTCTCATTCCTACTAAACAAGAAATGGGGGGCCTTACTGAAACCCTTGTTCAACTGCAGGCCCTGTCTTTGCAAAAGCAACCCAAGAGGAGTAGTTTGGAGAAAGACCTTATATACACTCAGGCCTGTGGTCACCGTACAGAGTAGTCCAAAACGTGGTAATCTCTGTTCAAGACTTTTATCACTTTTGCCCCAAACCCCCCACTGAGTCTGGCAGCCTCACACTTGATGGCTCTTCTAAACTTGCAGCTACGCTCTTTAGCACTGAACCTAAATTGCTTGACCACTCACCCCAACCCAAACCTCGCCCCTCCTCTGCAGTGATTGGTCAGGAGAGTCAGAGCTGGTCAGCAGCATGGTTGGGAGCTGTGTGGAGAGGCTGGAAGGTGAAAGAATGGAGTTATAGAAGTGGGCGTGTCTACATGTCTTCGTTCACTGAAAAGGGGAGGGGCTTAAGCTTAGGACACATCAAACATAGGCCTGGTCTGGAGAAACCGTTTACAAAAAAAGAAAATATTCCATCATAATTCTACTATCTGTTGACCAAGCGGAGCCATCTTTGTCAAAATCATACATATTCATCTTAAAAGGATTCAGGTCTCTTGACGCCTAACCTTTGGCTAAAGATTCAAGGGTATTTTGCACACATGCAAACACACAATCTTTGATTCTTGAGACTGAGAAGGCAAGAGGGGAGGCTCACAGTGGAGACTGCAATCGATAAATTAATTGGATACATCGGTAATCAACTCCTAATCTGCTGAAATAATGTTCTATGTATTAAGGTCAATACACATGGTTGAAGTCAAAGTAAGTGTGAGTGCCGGTAATGTTGAGAGAGGTGTACACACATACACACTATAAAAGGTATGCGAGAGTGTGTGTGTGTGTGTACACATTTCATTGTATCTGAATCACTGTAATTGAAACGTTGCGTGAGAACATGAGCAAAAAAATTTAATTATGGGGGAAAACATCTTCAATCAAAAAAAGGAGACATTTGCCTGCCTAAAATGTGTTTCTCTACATGAGGAAATGAGAAAGTAAATCCTTTTGCTATACAAATGGCATTCTCAGCAGCAAGTGTAACTCATGTTGATGTCTACCTTCATTGTTCACTGAGGATGTACAGTTCACACAATGGAGGGGCGCTTTCTCTGTAATGCCAACCACAGCGGAGAAGAGAATGGATGGACTGATAAAAGGATGAGGAAAATGGGCACAGTAAGTGTAAGAGAAATGCACAGCACCTTGTAAAATTAACATCCATCACTCTACTTCCCTACACTTCTCTGCCGCTTTCAGGTGCTGTAGGACGTGCCAACCCCCCCTCCCCGGCACTCAGACTCTCAGTCCATCCTTCCATCCATCTGTCTTTTCTGAAGCAGTAACGACTATTTGCTCTCTTCTGGCTTGATGGCCTGTGGTTTGATCGGACCTGTCCGGATGGGTTTGGTTGTTGCTAGAGGTGCAGGTTTGTCAGACTCTGTGCGGTCAGATGGCGCCCCCTGGTGATTTGAAGTGATGCTGTCGGTGGGTTTGCCTGCTCCTATGCGGGTTGGCTTGCTGACTGGAGCCTTGAGTTGTTGTTGCTCAGAGAAGAACTTGTGGGTTGACTGTAATACCTCAGCTCTTTGTTTAGCCTGAGAGAGAAAAATTAACATGTAAAGCCAATATAGAAAATAACCTCATATACAACCTCTAAAGTAGAGCTTCTCAAATTTATGTAACTCCAAGGCCCCCCATCTCCCACAAAACATAGGCCCCATGACTGGATATGGATACTAGACTAAGGATAAGTATTAGGATAAATGTATTAGGCAAGAGTCACTTTACAGTTAGTGCCATCATAAAACTACTTGTAGATTTAAAATTCTACACGTCACATTTATTGTCCCAACAACAAATAATTTGGCTGAATGTATATTTTAGAGTTATTGCGCTCCTATTTCAATCAAAAATCACCCTATTTACTTTAATGTGATAACAACGCTCACCTTAAGGTCCTGTTCTGCTTTCAGGGCAGCCTGTGTGCCACGTGGTGCCAATGAGGGACCAGAAGGTCCACGTGGAGGATGCTGGGGTCTGGGATGGGGCATCAGACCCCCACTCAAATTAGGGGACATAGGTGGACCCATTGGTGAACGCTGCACCCCTCCAGGAAAGGAGTTTGCATGGGGTGGACGCACCAATGGAGACACCATGTTAGCCTGAGACAACATCTGTTTATGTGCAAGAGATGGGTAATGCTGTTAATGCTCAAGAAGTATGATCAAATTAAGATTTCCAACAACTTGCTTTATGCGTGTAGTAACTGACCTGTGGGTTGAACTGTCCTGGGAAGTGCTGGGCAATGCGCATTCCTGCTGAGCCCGACTGGAACTGTTTGGGATACAGCATGCTGCTCATCTTGCTAGACTGACTACTGGGGCTTGTGGAGCTCACCCTGAGAACACAAACAAGGAAGCTGTCAGAAAACATACAAAATATGGCTGCAACAGATTGGGGATATGCATGCATGCAGTGTGCATAAAGGCCATGACACCAAGCCGACGGTTGGTCCTTACACTACCATTCAAAATTTTAGGGTATCAAAATCTCCACAAAAATATTCAGCAGCAATAAAATATCAATAAATGTTTATTGACCACCAAATCAGCATATTAGAATGATTTCTAAAATATGAGAGAAAAAAAAAATCCTAATTCCAAACTGTTGACCAGTAGTGAATATTCACAGTCCTACCTAAAAATAATACCTATGGAGAGCTATCCCCTCATGTAAGCACAGAATGTATATGCTAGTTGCCTGCTGACAACAGTCTTTGCTGTGCTTTCAAGCCCAACATTTTTGGCCCAGATGCAAACGCTGTAAGGCTTTTGTCGCCACTAGGTCTTTGATGATGGTTTGGTGTGTCTGGGCCTTAATCTGGATGGCTTTGCATGCACACACACCTATAAGGGCTAGACGTGGGGGTAGTGCTTCTGGCGCTGACAGGTGGAGTTCCAGGCTTCATATCCATTCCACCACTGAAGAGCTTCAGATCCATCTCGCACATCTACAACAGATAAAAAGCATGCATGTTTCAATATACCCCATGTATGATAAGATTTAGACCAGTGCTTCCCAACCGGGGTGCCGCCTGTCGAGAGCAGGGGTGCAGTGTAAAAAAATATTTTTTAATATTTTTAAATTGCTAAAATGTTCAAAAAAGCATCTATTATATAATATCCATTTCTGATGTCGCCAATAATTAGAGATGCACCGAAATTTCAGCTGCCGAAAATGAGTTCACCGCTCAGGTTTCACTTTCACGTGGTGTGACGCTCTGCGTATTATCCCGCTCTATGCGGTAGTACAGTATTGTTTCTGTCTGCAATAGCCCTACTGTGTTGTAACACGGTGTGGTATATGGGCAACTCTAGTAACGCTACCCTCTCATTCATTGATCTGCTAACCGCAATTATGCTCACATGTTCTGATAATAATAGCTTTCTAGGACTAAACATTATTTGGATAATTGATAAAAAAAAAAAAAAGGTCAATATCTTAACCCTACTGTTAGACCTACTTGAAAAACTAAAAAGCAATTTAATTCAAAGGCCTGTCATTATTTTTTATTTGTGCTATCATTATTAAATTTCTTTATTTGTTCTTATTTTATTACTGACTGCTTCCTTGTAATTTTTTTATTCAATTAAAAGTTTGAAATCAAGCTATCTCGTGCTACTGCACCAAAATTACCCCACTGTAAAGTAAAATAAATTAAAAAAAACACTGAGTGAGCAAAAATTTGTTAGATAGCTAGTTATAATGGTAATTAAATAATGTTTACATATGAATAAAAGCCTACATTAAAATGTCATATAAATTGGTATCTTCATTAGAAATTAGCCTATTGATTGCCACCATTGATGGACAGATTTTTTAAATATTAAAAATATCTGTACGACATTATATTCTGCAGTTCTTCCTTGTTGTACCGAATATCTATACTTTTCAAATGATCATATCCAAGTTAGAAATTCAAATATTGTGACAAAATTAATTTTGTAGGGTGCCACAAGTTTGTTAATTTCCAAAGGGTGCCGTGACTAAAGAAAGGTTGGGAAACACTGATTTAGACTACAAGAATATTTCGGTTTCAGAAAAAGATTATATTAGACTAGAACTGTGTGTTTAAATCATTTTCCTGAAATGTAAGTTTAATTTGACAAAAAAAGTTTTTTGCAAAAAAAGACACCTCACATTTAAGCCTAATAAATGTTTATGTAGGTAACACTTTACTTTAAGGTGTCCTTGTTACAGTAATTATACATTTAAGTACCGAGTAATATTAACTAAATGTACTTACCATATGGTTAGGATTAGGGTTACTTGCACATAATTTGTTGTTATTATAAAAGTAAGTACATGTAACAAAGACACCTTAAAATAAAGTATTACCATTATGTATAAATAATTGGAACTAAAACAGCAGATGTGCTGAGTGAAAACACAAATTCACTCTCTGATAGTATGTGGCAAAATACAGAGGTTACCCTGTCCACAAAGCAGTGCTGTGCTTATAAAGACAAATTTATTATTAGGAGTAATCAATACCTTGATTACTACCAGTAAATTAAACAAATTAAGTGAATTAAATTAGTTTAAAAAAAGAAAAGTAAAAATGTAGTAAAAAAAAAATGTAGTAAAAACAATCAGTGTGACAAACCTTATTGGAAGGCTGCATCATGCTGTGTGTATTCTGGCCAAAAAGGCCACGATAGGGCGGATTGCTGGGGGGCTGGCGGTTGAGGCTGGGGGGCGGGACTTGGGGAGGGGTCGGAGGTAAGGACTGAGGCAAAGCCAAGAGTGGCTGACCACCACCAGAGCCGAAGTTGGGCAAAGATAACTGTGAACCTGGCATGGAAACCGTCATCTGCTGTAGGGCAGAGCTGGGACTTTGTGTTGAGCTGTAGTAGCT